TCCTCCTCCTCCTCCTCTCCCACTTCAAGGATCAGCAATTTTTTTCCTGGCTAACATACTGCGCTCGTTTCTTCCCTTGAATCAGAGGCTGAGTCTCATTGCATGTAGACTGGCTCCCAGCCCTAACAAGCCTTTCATGATCTGGCCAATTCACGTCACTGTTGCATTCTTCCGAGAAAAGCATTTCAGGTCAATGAGCTATCTATGTCCCCTTTCTCCTTCCCTGCTAAGACCAGACACACAGAGTGAGAATGATAATGACAGTCATTTAACTTGTTTTCAGTGTTAACAAGGTTAAAGTGACAAACACCTTGTTCAATTTGTATCTGTTGATAATCTTCACACGCTCACCCAAATCATATGTAGTTTCGATACTAGTACACTTTGTATACTCCGATGACATCAATTTAAAAATAAATATTTTCCTAGACATAAGATGGGGCCATACGAAAAGTGTAATTTTAAGTCAAAATGTGACTTATTTAATAATAATCATGGGTTAGACCAATGGTGATCTGCAGCACTTGTATTTTACTCATCAGACTACTTTTCTATTTTAAAATAAACAGTTCAATGCACTACACATGCAATTTACTTGTAGGTGACAGTGGTATTCAAATGGTATATGGCACAATGCAAAAGCATGAATGCCACCAGCATGGACATGTATTCATGGTTTTACCTGAGAAATGAATAAAGATGACCCTTTTATTCAAATGGTCCTGCTGGTGTACTTTGTGCTTTTATATACGATTGTAAATTCTATGTGGTTGGCTTGCCATGCATCACAATTTAAGCAGTGATTGCAGATGGGCAGTGGGTGAGCTGTCTCGTACTACATTCTGATTAAATGGCACAGTTGCATATCCTTTCTCTGAAAGTGCAGTATCATAACAGAAAAGTGTTAGCCCTCGTTCACACCTGAACGTTTTGTAGCGCGTTCTACGCTCGACGAACGCTCTACAAAACGCTCAAAAATATAAATCCCATTGTATTCAATGGTCTCGTTCCCACCTTGGCGTATTTCCTAACGCGCTACAAAATGGCCCACACCTGAAAAGGTACAGGTACTACTTTGGGCCGTTTTGTTGCGCGTTACCATTGGGATACAGCCAAGTAGCCTTCGGAAACGCGTGAATCGCAGTAAAAAACCACGCGACAGACGCGCATATGCAATACGCCTAGGTGTGAACGAGACCGAAAGGTGCCCATACACTGTACGATTATCGTTGCCGAACGGGCCGGTGTGCGCACGCGCACACTGCCCGTTTGCAGTGATTGGAAGCCCGCCCCTCACTGCGGTCATCTGAAGCCCTCAGCGGGGTGGGCTTTCAATGATCGCAAGTACGATCTGCCTGTCCAAGATGGGCAGATCATACGAGCTTTTAATTAGCTTACGACCATCGCAAGACAAAAGTCTTGCGATGGTCGTATGGGCACCTTTTCAGTTTGTGGATAAAATGCTTCATACATAAGATTATTCATCTGAAAAATTGGCTACAAATTTGGCAACCACTGTCATATTTATGGATAAAGTGTGGCAGAAGAAAACATCTATTTTTTAGCAGCTGCAACTTTCAACACTGTACTAGACAAAATAGTACTTGCCAGGTCTTCATTATTGTACAGTAGTAGCAAGTTGAAAAATTGTTGGTATGCAAAATCATCCAATAATTTGTAATCACGCCTCTTAGAAAGTCTCATATGATTAGATCCGCCCTGATCATCTTAATTGCCATGGCCTTTTGGCATCGCAGTGAGCCACTAAATTAGAACTGTACAATATCCTGCTCTATTTGAAAATATTGGGACATACAAGCCAATCCAAAGGTCTACTTTACACTTTTGCTTTTTATGTAATATTTAAAAGAACAAAAATCTGATTCTAATCAGCTCTGGAATGTTTTTGAAGGCAAACTAGCACAAAAGATGGAATCAAATAATGTTGTGGTGTTGTTACATATGCATTGTAGTATTAAACCCCTTCATTGTAGGGACAACAGTAAGTCATTTTGGTCTGCTGACCCTCAATCAGAACAAAACTTGGTGATACTAAAGGGGACTTGCATTCAAGTCCCCTTTAACAAAAATGTATCTTATTTATGCATCACTCAGCTGTAGATCCTCAAATCATCGCAGAATTGGTGCTAACACTGTTCTTCCTTTTGGAAGGTGGCTACTTTTGTTCCCCATGGTCCTTGTGTGTGTTGTAAAGTAGCCACCACTCCAAGCTCACTCCTGTGATGGACTACAATCTCAATACAAATTAGTGAACTAAACATGAGATTGTAGAGGTGTCTACTTTACAACACACAGAAGGATCATGGGGAACAGAAGTAGCCACCCTCCAGGAAGCACAGTGTAAGCACAAATTCAGAGAGGATTTGAGGATCTACAGCCGAGTGATATGAGATACATTTTTATTATTATACAAGGAGGTACTTGAATGCATTTTTAAATTTCACTCCTGAGTTTAGTGTCACTTTATAATACTTTGCCTGGGCAAAAATGTACCACCTGGATTTTGGGCAGTGTTATGATCTGGGGTTGCTTCCATTGGTCAGGTCTAGATTCATCAACAATATGTCCCCAAAAATGAGGTCAACTGCCTGCCTGAATATACTGAATGACCATTTTTTTCCATCAATTGATTTTTTTTCTTCCCTGGTGGCACAAGCATATTCCAATATGACAATGCCAGGATTCATTGGGTCACATTTTAAAAATGGGTGGTTCAGGGAGCATGAGACATCATTTTCACACATGGATTGGATACCACAGAATCCAGACCTTAACTCCTTTGAGAATCTTTGGGATGTGGAGAGGTCCAAACGAAATATTAGAATATGTGCCTTTTTGGTCAGGCAGTTGTATGAATGTGGAAAATTGGAACAGTCATGACTGCAACCTCCATAACCTTGTTCCTAGGTCACTATTCCAATGTAAAAATCAATGTTTCTGTTTTTTTGTTTTTAAGTTTAGTCAATTCTGTTATTAGCGCATGTTTCACTATCAAATGCCACTGTACAGTTCCTTAAAATGTTTCAAAGCGTCATACGTATAATAATAATTAATAATAAATATTATATGTATAATAAAGAGATTAAATGTCCAAGTGAGAGCATAGCCAGTTCACCCACATCCCCGCCAAAACATCCTAACGCATTACACTTTGAAACAAATATATACCAATGCTCAAAAGAAAACATAAATATGGGATTCCTGAATAAGCATTCTCCTTTGCTCAGGATTTAGTCCCTGTTCACACCTGGGCGTTTTGACGCTCAAAGCTAAGTGAGAGAAAACTCTCAACACAAGAAATCCCATTCATTTCTATGGCCCCTGTTCACACCTGAGAGTTTTGTTGCAAGCTGTAAAACGCCAAACGCTGGAAAAGGTACATGACCTTCTTTTGGCCAGATTACAGCACCTTTGGCTGCATAGAAAGCAATGGAAGCGCATTAAAACGTGCAACAAAAGCATTTTGCACATTTTGTACGCTTTTGTGCGTTTCCTCATTCACAGCAATGCATTAAGATCTGCTCAAGAAAACTGGCGTCCTTGCCTATGTGCATCTAACACACGTAAACAAGTGCAAATTGGGCACAAACGTGCAAACCATATGAGGGAAAAATGTGCATAAAAAACACGTTTACCCGCGGAAATGGTGAACCCTAAGCTGAATGGAGACTAAAATTGTATTTCTAATTTTGCAGCTAAATTGGAATAACACTTACTTTATATCTGTGACATGCATTCATTCACATAGCATAAAACTTTAATAATAATGTATTTAATATCTAGATAATGTGACTGCCAGACTACTTTTTCCTAGTATGACTTCCATACTACTATTTCCTTCAATACTTTTTTTCTCTCCAACCTGAATTTTCCACTGGAATGCAAGGGTGGGGGTGATGTTTAAAACATAATTAACTGTGTCTGTACTATGCTAGCCGATCTCATTATCATCTGTAAACTAAATTTGAACATTGACTGTCCGAATAAAGGGTTAAAAATCAAGAAGCAATGTATGGTAATAAAATGAAGCTCATAGTGTCCCTATTTTTTCCGTGGGGACAGAGTTTCCTGTCAATTTCAAATTATACAAAGAAGTTCCAATGGCTTGCCACATAGAGACATCTAAAAGGTGAGAATTATTTTTTTAATTAAAATTATGTTTTTTAGATATGCTGCGAGAACTGGAAACACGTAACAAAGTGTTTGTGTTTTTTTAAATTTGTCTGCAAAAGTGGAAATACACTTTAAAGTAAATCTAAACCCTTCACTATAATCTCTCACTCTAACATGTTAATTTCAAAGGTTGTTTTTATTATTTTTAAATCTGCAGCTTTTATTAAACCAATTCCAGAAGGTCATTCAGGCACTTCCTGTTATGGGGTTACAATTATATCCCTATCTGTCTTCAGCATTGTCATCCTGTCACTGGCACCACTGATGGAGACTACAGGGGATCATGCCAACACACAGGCATGGTCCACCATTGTCACTTGCAAATAATGCTCCACAGCAATTAATTTAAGGCAATGCAGGAGTGAGCACATGTAGACCGGAAATAGCTGAAAGAAGCTGGCGAAAATCAGCACTCTGAAATGGGATGCAACACATGGATTTAAAAAAAGTGAAAACATTTTAATTTAAAAAAAGGTTAGCTGGCATGACAGTGGTTTACTAAACAAAATGTCATACAGTTAAGGTTTAGATCTACTTTAAAGAAGCTTTAGATTTTCTTTTTCTAATGGGTTATTCTACTTACTGTACAGTGCCAATTGAACAACACTTACAGGTAAAACAGAAAAAAAGTGTCCACACAAATTAAACAATAACTTGCATACACTGAACATTTGCGTGATACAACCAGCCACCAGAAACTGAATGAATTGTAAAATATATTTTAATGTGGACAGTTTTCTGTTTATCAATATCTACTGTGAGGTACATTTCATTTAGCAAGCATGTTGTAGTGAAAGGACACTTACCTGCATACCCCAATGCACTTGTACCAACAGCTGTTAGCTTTCTTCTCTTGCTCACTGGCCTAAATCCATTATCCTAAAAACAATGAGAAAAATGACACATGATACATTGGACCAGCATCTTGTTTACAATTTAAGGTTCATGTACATTGTTGCTTACACACTCTTATACTAAAACTAATCTCCAGGTATACCTATTGACCACATTAGATAACACACATAAAAAATCATTGCATGCTCTGGCCATTAACATAGTCATTGCCTGCCCCAGCTTTATAACCGAAATACAACACAGTTAAAGATTTCATTACCTGCAAACTCGCAGAAGAGAGAAAATTAAAACCCAAATTAAATGGAGAAGGTCAACCATTATCCCTTCTACATTTGCCTACCTAGGTTCAGGGGTAGAATGCATGTGTTAGGGTTGTCTAACATTTTTACAGAATGTTGGGTCAACAGACAGATAAGGCAACAATGGGGATGTTTATAGGTGGTTTCCATCTACTCTGGCAGAATTAGCTATTCACCTGCAAGCAAAATGGTTTTCCCAACCAATCAGAACTCTTCCCGATACCACAGGTATTTTGCTCAGGGAATGAGGAGTCAGACATGTACTTGTTTGTGAGCAACTGTACAGAATACAAACAACATTTTGCTGTTCAACAACTAAACTCACTCAAAAGCGCCAAAAAATAAATGTCCTTCACGCATATATTATACCTTTTGCACCTCCCCCATGTGCCAACAGTCCAAAGAACAAAATGGAGAATACGCTAATGCATGAAAGAGTCTCCTCTCCTATTGGTAAACATTTGCATACTTAATCCCTTTCTATTCAATGCATTATGTTTCATGCTCCCACTGTAAGAAGTTGTAGAACAATAATAGAATTGCCAGTTGTGTCATGTTTACTGTGAACTGTTCTAAAGCCTAACAAGGTACAGGCCCTACTAACATGATCTGCAACCCTTTACTGCCTAATAATGGACAACTCTCTGAAGAACAGTGTATGGGTAGAAACCCATGTATTTACATTATTTACAAAGCAGGGTGCAGAAATCCTCTTCTAATATTGAGCTAAGCACAGTGAAGATACAAGTTTGGGATGATGAGTGTTCCTTCCGCCCCTTGCACTCTGTAGAAATGTCAGAGATTGATTTCCTAATAAAAAAAAAAATGTTCCCTACCACTTTTAAAACACGAAGGCAGCTTTATGTTCTCTTTGCAGAAAGTTGTGGAGGATGCATGTGAACAGTATAACATTTCCACAAAGCAGCTCTTCCCAAACAATGCGATGATTGTTATAGTTGAGGGGTGGAGGGAACACAAACCATGAATCTATACCTCAGCAGTGTGCTAGCAGTGGGAAGCTAGAGGAGTGCAGAGTATCTGCTGTGAGGAACTGCCAACACTCTTTACTGATGTTTTGTTTCTTAGCTCTGGAAGTTAACCCTTTGGCAAGCCTGCAGTTGAGGTCTCCGTTGCGATTCTGTCACGACTGGAGACAGTGAATGTACATTCTCCCAATGCTGTCTGTCAGAGATTAATTTCCATAGGATCGTGTCATCATTAATTACACTCCTCACCAATGTACAGTTCTTTCCCATGTGTTTCCCCTTCATGCCCCTGGATCATCAGAGCTTTGAACTCTGCGGCTACATTAATTGTGGCTGGATATTTTGAATAAGTTGTGCTGCAGTCACCAAATGAGCTAATCATCTGCCCATGAGCAGACTGCTAATGTTCTTCTAGAGTGCCAGGGACCAGCATATCGTCCAATGGTTAGTTTCGAGCCTGGTACCAAACTCATAATTTAGCATGCCTGAATAAAAGATACCATAAAACCTGAAAGTAACAAAATATGCAGAAAGAAAATGGTATATGATGATTAGAAAAAAAGGCTGACAAACCATGGAGACACAGATATCAAGAGTTATTTAACAGGGCAACAAACAATGCTCCAACTACAGTAAACCATAGCAGCTGATTATTAATCTTTCATGAATCTACAAATTATTTGGTTGTCATATACTACTATACATTACAAGTACTCTTTTAGCAGTACAAGAGGCAAAGTACTAAAACCACTCTACAGTATGAATGACATGCTGGTGCATTTACTTTGCACAACAGCAAATGCTTGTAGAACAGATGTCTTGTCACCCATATTGCATGACCGATCACCAGAAACCATGACTTTAGCATCAAAAAAGGTTTGTGTTCATCTGACCAACCAAATGTCTACCTTTCATGTTTTAGTTTGCTCTAGAATAAAAAAAAAAACCACAAATAAACTTAAAAGGTGATTGGTTTCCAGGAGCAATACAAATATTTTACATCATCAGACCCAAATATAATCACCCGCAGCAGTCACGGACATATAGGCCAGGCAAGGAGGAAACTTACAATTCGGCCAGTTTTGGCACCATACTAATTACCCATCTTGGTGTGATAGATCTACTTTAAGGACAATGTAACTAGATAAATTAAACAGATTAAGTAGATGAATGCTTGGCAGACAGCAGCTCATTTGTCATGCGCTGACACTGCTTGTCTACTGTAGTGCTATATTGCTATCCAACATAAAGAACACAAATATCGCAGCAACAAACAGGGAAGATAACTACAATGTTAAATGTGATGCACAGCAGCATGCCAACAGACTCATGCTTCACCTTGAGTCTCTTATAACAGATGAGGTTAGGTCAGTTTTCAGATGTCAATCACTAGAGGTTTTTTTATTAGCACATTTATACTGGAAAATAATTGCACAAGCCCTTGGACCACCGGCTCCAGCGCAGCCATTTCATGCAAACCAGTACTTTGTCCCCATATAGTTTTAAGTGAGACTGTACTGCAAATTAAAAGGTCTGTTGCTCTGTAGGCGTCGTAAGGTGACAAAGCTGAAAGTGAACCAGTTGAGAGGCTACGGACATTCAAGATGTAGACATTCTTATACTCACCTGATCCTCCAATCCGGTTGTAGTGTGTCCCTCAGCCTCCTAACATCGAATAGACTTGCATTAGACCTGGTGACATCACAGATTCTTAGACCGCTGGAGCCCAGGGGAGACGAGGCTATGGAGACCAGTCTAGCAGCCAGACGGCACCAAGGATCAGGTGAGTATATTTTCTTTATTTTTGTCCCTAGAGCAAAATCATTGTTAGAAAAGGTTGTAATACTTAACTGGCTGTGCTATGTGGCACGTGTGTGTACTAAGAGATTGGCTATACAGAATGATTAACCTTTTGGCAGTTAAAACAGGATTTTTGACTAGCCTTAAAATTCCTTTTTTTTGGAGTTTATTAGGGGACACAGGGTGAAGTAATTCTGGTACATTGGGTTTACGCTGCTTCCCTGAGGAGATTAGAAACTGGCAAACAAATCTGTAAGACAGCCCAATATAACCTCTCCCACTCCCATGCTGCTCCAGTTTTGTGAGCAAACCAATAGCAGAGGCAGAAAGTGTTGATATGCTGGAAAAACAGGGACATGCAGGTAGGCATCTTTGATGTCTACAGAGGCCAGAAAATGTCTCAGACAGAGGGAAGCAATGACTGACTTTAAAGATTCCATATGGAATTTTTGTAGCCGAAGAAAAGAACCTTTAGATCAAAAATGGGTCAAATGTCCCCATTTCGGGATCGTCCAGTCTCCTGCACAGTTTGAAATTCCCATCCACACAGCGGGGACACGGACGGAGCCCCTGTTCTGCCATCCCTCCCCTCGTTCACAACTATCCTCTCTCCCCTTGGACGAGCACCTTCGGGCAGACACCCCGGACATCTCGATCCTCCACCTTCGGGCAGCAAACCAGCCACAAATTGGGCAGACACCCCAGACATCCCGATCCTCCGTTTGGCCGCCCCCCTCTAGTCCCCGGAACTACAAGTCCCAAAAACTTTTTTCCTGTAATGTTCTGCCCAGATAGTTTTTTGATTGTTAAATTTACAGGTACTCCTCCTGTCTCTCAGGGCTGCATGCTAGTCAGGTATCCATAACCAATCATTTAAGTTGTTTATCTGAGAGCGCTGTTTGTGCTGTCTTTTTTCTTACTGTGCGTTTCATTACTGACCTCTGCACGGTGCGTTTCATTACTGACCTCTGCACGGTGCGTTTCATTACTGACCTCTGCACGGTGCGTTTAATTGCTGACCTCTGTACTGTGAGTCATACTGCTGACCTCTGTACTGTGCGTCATACTGCTGACCTCTGTACTTTGCATCTCACCACTGGCCTCTGTACTCTGCGTCATAATGCTGGTCTCTGTACTGTGCATCACACCGCTGGTCCCTGTACTCTGCGTCACACCGCTGACCTGACGGAGTTAAGGCCAGGGGTTAGGTGGGGCAACTTGTGGCGAGTAACTCTTAAGGCCTGGCTAGTAACTTAGGACTTAAAATTCTGAGCCCTGGCCTAGTGTATGATTAAGAAAACAGTTCACCTTTAAGTTTTAAAAGTTCTGTATTTAGTAATTTGCCTAGAGTTCAAATGTAAACTATATGAAAACTGACATACAATATGTCCATTATAATTGCATAGGTGTGAGTGGGTCCTTCACCTCTCACTGGACTAGCTCTCCTACACAATAACCAGCACAAAAGACTAGCAGGTTAATAGCAGCAGTGAATTCTAGAACAAAGCTATAAACACTGCATGATATGGCCTTCTCTAAAAATGCCACAAGCTTTTATTTCTTCTAAGTGGATTGCTGAAGTTATCTTTTCCTTTACATCCTCAAACCAGTTCAGGTATTCCCAAGTATACTGGATTTATATAACCAACAAAAGTACTGTAAGAAATGGTCCTACTTGCTCAGTGAATTGCACTCTGGAAGCTTTTGTTACAACTGGCAAAGAGTTTACTTTAAAAAAAAAAGAAAAGCCATGCTTTGATTTCTCGTCCTGCTGATAACTATACACTAACAAGGTTGTTTTTCTTTTCCTTCTCTTACGAAGACCTTCCACCAGCCTTAGGAGGTGGTAGGAAAGGGTGGGTGCAAGTGTGTACTAGATTCATAATCCACCTCCTCCCCTTCATGCTCTCCAAGATCTGTATGAATCACAGCACAACAG